GGAGCTAAAAAATAAACAAATTAATTTACCCACAAACACACACAAAAAAAACCGGGGGGGGAGGGGGAAAGAAGATATAACAACTATACCTTTTTTGAAGTTGTTACAACAAGCAAACGGAAAGGACATTCTTGGGGGGGAGGGGAGAGAGGGAGGAGGGCGGGAGGTGTCGGTGAAGGGCCATAATAATCATATACATTGTATATTGACAAAATAAAAATTTAAAAAAAAAAAATCTCAAAAAAAAATAAAATAAAATAAAATACAGTACAGATACCCACAGGGTATTAGAACAGGCAGAGGTCTTAAAGAGATGAACTAAGCCAACTCTTTTGTTTTCAGAGTCAGGAGAAGTCTTACTAGGTCTATCAGCTCAATCTCTCAAACTTGTATTTGTAAATTTAAGATTTCACCTGCTAGATATGACTTTGCATTAGATTTATAGATACTTTTGAGAGAAATGACATCTTTGTAATAGAAAATCTCCATCCAAGAATACAATATGCCACTTATGGCAGGTCTTCTTTTTAAATCCACATATTTCATATTTTTATGTAGTCTAATTTGTTTTTGAAACAAGCCCATATGGTTTCTGCTTTGGGCAGAAAGGTCTTCCATTTGCATCAAAATTATTAAAGTATTCTAAATTCTCTTCTAACACCTTTGTGTGGTTTCCTTTTTTTATGCTGTAGTTCCCTGTCTGCAGTTTTGTTTTCTGATGTTGTAATTACCCACAGTAAAATGCAGTCTAAAAATATTAAATGGAAAATCCCAGAAATAAACAATTCGTAAGTTTTAAATTGCAAGCCATTCTGAATAGCATGATGAAATCTCACACTGTCCTGTTCTGTCCCACCTGAGAAGTGAAACATCCCTTTGTCCAGTGTGTCCATGCTGTATACACTCCATGCCCATTAGTCACTTAGTACCTGTCTGGGCTGTCATGGTATAACAGTGCTTGTATTCAAATAACCCTTATTTTACTAAATAATGGCCCCAAAGTGCAAGAGTAGTGATGCTGGCAATTCAGATATGCCAAAAAGAAGCTGTAAAGTGCTCCCTTAAAGTGAAAAGGTGAAAGTTCCCAACTTAATAAGGAAGAAAAAAATCATATGCTGAGACTGCTAAAATCTACAGTTAAGAACAAATCAGTAAAATTGTAAAGAAGGAAAAAGAAATTCATGCTAGTTTTGCTGTCACATCTCTAACTGCAAAAGTTACAGCCACAGTGCGTGATAAGTGCTTCATTAAAATGGAAAAGGCATTAAACTTGTGGGTGGAGACATGAACAGAAAAATGTTCCAGTTGACAGTAATTGGGTTCATTGCTATCTGCCATTTCAGGCAACCACTGGGGGTCTTGGAATGTATCCCCCCTGGATAAGGGGGTACTACCATGTTAACTGCGTAATCCATTTGAAATTGACTTGGTATGAGCTTTGAGGGAGAGATCTCACAGTTATCTCATTCATTTCCCCCACTGATTTGAAATGCTATAATTTTATATGGTATGTTTTACATGGATTTTTTTGACTGAGCTATTCTATTTCCGTTAATCTG